CTGAGGGGTGGTGGCGGGGGTGGGGGTGGTCTTGTGGGCTTTGGGGCTGGGGGTGGGGGGGGGGGGGGGGGGGGTCCAAATTTCTACCCTAAACACTTCAACACTCCTTTCAGATCGTGTTTCAGAAAATGAGGCAAATTGAATGTTATAAAACCAGGCAAATGTATATGTCACCGATTGAGTCGTAACGATATATGTTTCGACACGCACAGCGGTAGCAATCCTTTGATGAGAATGATGAGGATAAATCATATAGAATAATTGCTTTTGTGTCGATTGAATATGAGGAACATGTAATAAACGTTGACTAGTCATTATTGACATATTTTTTATTGAGTAAATAGAAAATAAACCAATAAATTGTTTTTCTATAGAATTCTGGTAACATTTTTGTTTGAAAAATAATCGTAAGTCGTTCATTTTGCCATTGACATTTCGATCCATAATAACTCGGTGGACAAAAACAGACAATAGTTCGATTATTTTTTGTCAAAAGCTAGAATGCCTCGAAAACAGATATCCGAATTAGAACGAGTTTCGACAGATAATCGTTGACTTGTATCAATATTGATTAATGAAAATAGTGGATAAACAGCTTTCCATCAAGCATTAGTCATATTACATGCCCATTCGTCCTCTCCATCGGGAATACAATCCACAAATTCATTACAACGATCTCCAGCTTTCAAGCATGTACCATTCATACAGGTAAATTCGTTCCATCCTCTACAGATAGAATTGAAATGCCATGGACAAAGACGTTCATCATCATTCATTAATGGACAATCGTATTTTCGATGACATACTTGTTGCATTTGAATATGTCTCGTCCAATCATTTCAACAACGTGGTCAAATTTCAATTCGACGATTAATAATCAATGCATTATTGTCTAAAATTGCACGTTCATCCACACCAAATAGACAATCATAATTGCCATCACCAGCTTTTTCTAATGGTAAACATGAGAGTCTCATTGTTATCGGATTAATACAATAATGTTCATCTTTCGAACAAAATCGAGCAAGATACGTTGGTACTTTATCAGGACAATCTAATTCATCGCATCCATTTGGTCTATTCCAAATACCATCACAACGTGTCATACGAGCATGGCATGGCCATAATTCACAATCACTTTCGTCGGTTTCGTTTGATCCGGATACGGCCATTATTGAATATCCATTACATAATTCTTCATAGACAATCGGTAACGATAATCGAAGATCATATTGAAGAAACATCTGACAATCATATTCATACATACACTGAACAGGAAATAATTCATCAGATCCATCTGGACAATCACTCCATGTATTTCGTAACACTCGTCGATGAACACGTCGACGTGTCATATTATCACTATTGAAACATTCGAAACGATCAGTTAAATTACGTTCACATATTTGTAAAGAATCAATTTCGTCATTTTGTGAAGAAAAACAGTCGATGTGAGCGTCTCGAAGCCGATGTTTAGATATTGGTCTGCCTGTTGAGCACACATACAGCTCTGCTGGATGTTCAACTGAACAATATGAAGTCAAACTTTGAAGGACAGTCACCAGTAGTTTTGTGGCTGTTGTTCCGACTGTGGCAAAATGTAAGGAAATAACATCTTCCAAATCCCAACATATATAATTATGTACAGCAAAGGATAATGAAGGCTTACCCAACTGACAAGACAATGTATTATTCATACAAATTGCAATAGGTTTGGTAAAATAACCATTACTGTCAATGGACGATGAAAATTTTGACCATGAATACATTAAGTGAACAAATGGTAGAACTGGAATAGAAAAATTACCATTCGGACATATTGTCGAATTATTCGTTAATTCATAGCAATATGAAGCTGTAGCAAATTCATAATCCCCACACTCAGATTCTTGCTCTTCAGTGGCTGATTCAAATAAGCATGAAAGGCCAAGAAGACAAATCATATGACGCCAACATTCTTCATTTAGGCCATAGTCAATACTATGAGCAAACAATTGTCGAACATGTATTAGATCTCGGCGACTCGGACATGTGTTCATAACAGGTTTGTCAGTATTATACTGAATACAAACGCCATCACCGCAGGAAACTGAATCGAAATTACGCGAATTTTCTTCACATTCGGCCGATGAATCATGATAACAGAATCGTTTTGGTATCGATGTTTGTTCATCGTATCCATCCGGACAATCAATACTCAGGTCGAATGAAAAATCTCGTGGAATACACAATCCATTTTGACAACGATATTCGTTCTTCTCATCGAATTCATTCGACTCAAGCTGTAAACAATATTCTTCATCACGACCATTTGTACAATCTCGTCGACCATCACATATTTTGTCGCCAATCGAGACAAACTCTTGTTATCGGTGTACAATTATGCATCGAGTAACATGTCACATCGAACACTGTCCGAATATCTCGGTTGTCATTTTTTTGAGAAAATACAGTTTTTACGATGGTATCAAAAGAGATTGGGGCTGATGGAGCAATTTCAATGTGAAATTGATATTCACATCGATTACCGAAAGATAAAGATACACCGTCGACAGCCGAACAATTGCAAAAAATCTTCTTATAATTGTCGGACTTTCCTCCCGTTATGAATTGATTATAATCGGCAATAATATCAATGGGGGCATACCAAGAAAATAGTTCTTGTGAAGTAATTCCTGCTTGACGAAGCTGATCAAATGTTTTAGACTCGACATCCCAGCATTTGTCGCTTGTAGAATTGACGGCAAGCGGTGTTCGAAGACAATATGGAACAATATGATATGCTCAACCGTTCGATTCACTTATATATCGATAGAGACATGTGTGGTCACCATTGATATCAAGAGAATATGTTGAATGATACAAACGAAAATGAGATTTAACAACTCTCATAATCACAAGAGCTAGCCAAGCTTGTAACAACACGGTCTTCATCTTGTAACAGAAACCAACAAAATGAAAGCATCACATCACGTCGTCCTTCAATCAATACTATTAGTTTTTTCTGGCATGTGTATCAATTTGGAAGTATGGTGTATATTGATTAAGCCAGTATTTTATCAAACTCAACTATCAAAATGAATGTTTTGATATGTCAAAACAGAGAAAATATTTACTATAATTGAAACTGAACTCTCATTCATTATCTTCTAACTTTCTTCATTCTAATCATATCGATCTCACTTCTACTCGTTTTTGCTGCTCGACGTTGCTTATGGACAACATCGACACACGAAAAAAGAACGACTGAAAAAATCTTAAAGTAGTGATTTTCCGCACAGAAAGAACACTACATTACACCAATAATCAACGTCTTATGTGCTTTATCACAGGCTATTCCTTCATTTCGGGTATGACTGTAGGTGTTTTTCGTCTTGGCTAACATACCCATAGCTACGCCCAAGTACAGACGCAAACCCACACCGCACCCATACTCCCACCCACACACCAAACTCCAACCACATCCGCACCCATAAGGCATTCAAATGATGATTCTCTCATTGAGACAATCACCTGATAAGTCACGTAGCAGTGATGAAATCGTTCGTGGTAGTTGTCGAGCAAACTCTCCCTGAATTAACGAAGTTCATCGAACGTGAAAGTATTTTGTCAAAATGCTGGCAAAGTAGGGAAATCGGATACATGGCAAGAAGAAATTATTTGGAATTTTTTCCGTTTACGTTGACCTTTGAGAAAAAAGTCAAATTTATAGTTTTGTAGAGCAAAGCGAGTTCTGTCGTTTGCTATGTGACCTATTTTCGTAAGTGGCGAAAAAGGGAAGAAAAAGTCAACATCAAATGGTCACCAAGTCTTTGGCATTATTAGGGGTGTCAAGTGAGGTGCGATTAGTTATTTATATTTGCACGATCAAGAACAAGTTTTCAGACCCTAGTGTTCTGGGCATTCGAGATTCGTATGATATGACCAGTCATCGTATATGAGGATGTGAGTGTGGGTATGTTAGTTAAGACAAGAAACACCTTCACCCACTATAGTAGAGAAACTGATAAAATTTTCAGCCCTATATCATGACGTTGGACAGAGATATTCACCAAACAAGTGCCGAAAATAGCCCATTTGGCAAGCAAGATTTTTCTGCCCAGGCTCATTCTATATATTTAATTTTTTTTTGTTGGAAAGAGCATCTTAGGATGTAGTGTCTACCAGAGCCCCTTTTTTTAATTCTTACTTTTTAAGCGGAGAAAAGGGATCACAAGTTCAATATCACAAAAAACGTGTCAAAATGAGTGTCTATTTATATTATTGTTTGTATATATAATAAGAACAAAGCATAAGTTAAAAAGAAGAGCTCTGGTAGGCACCGCAACTCGACATGCTCTTTCAAACAAAAAAAAAAGATTTCAATATATAGAATACGCCCGAACAAAGAATACATTTTCTGTTTTTTCCGGAAAAAGCCTGTTTTTTAAGCAGTAGATGACAGAAATCATCAAAACTTTTCGCGAAAGAAGATGTGTTGAAAAAAATGATATCGTTTCTGAAAGATCTGAAGGTTGGGCTATCTTTCAATGCAATTATCTCAATTTCAAAATTTCTGAGGAAAATTGACTTTTTTTTAGGGAGACCTTAAGAAAAAAAAAGAATTGAATAGTTTTTCGTTGCAGAACGAGCTCAATGCTCACTTATTCATTATTGTAGGCGCTCGATCGGTAATTGCTTATGTGAAAGATGAGATTGAATAATGGCTAGAAAAAATTTATTCTTTGAGTGCGTATCTCAAGTTATGTCGAATGAAGGCATTCTAACGAGTAACTACCGTGTGCGACTTAGTATACAAATGGCACTCGAAAAATCAACGCCATCCTCATTAGACAATAGTTTCTTTTTCATTTATCATTTATTATAAATGCAATAAATGACCACTTTACTAGAAATTAGGAAAACAATAAATCTGTTTTTTTTTCTTCAGGTACCATCTTTTATAAATGTAATAAATGAAAGCTTTACAGGGATACTCGTTCAGCTGATTGCTCAAAATCGACAACTCACCAAGCAGGTCAAAAAGGGTGGGTGTGGGTGCGGATCTTCTCTGTAATTGCACTGACATGCATACCGAAACCACCCACATCCTTTCATTTATGCATCAGAACTTTTTTCTCCACCTAAAGTGACAGAAAGCTGACTGGCTGGAGGTCCATGACCCATGCTCTCAACAACTTTAGAAATTATCTATCATTCGAAGAATCTCGCATACAAAGAATAGTTGCAGTGCAAGCTTTTTCGTTAGTACTAATTAACAATGAAGAGACCCCTCATTTATATAACATTTGATAGAAGACAATTGGAAGCAATATCAATAAATCAAAAAATATTTGATCTTATAGTGCGGAAAGGGACGTCTCCTTAAATTCAAGTATCGAATCTTGAAAAAGAGAATGGCATCAATATTATCATTACATTGTAAAATTGATAATTTATTTTGTAAAATGAATTCTTGGTTTTTTTTATTATAAAGAATATATATGATTTAATAATGAAGATCGAACAAAACACAGCATAATGAACAACTTTTTAAGACAAAAAAAGAATGAATGTTTTAAAAAGTTAATGAACAAAGCTATGTTGATCTTAGCCAACAACAGTTAGAACAGCAGATGCATAACTAACACTCGAATCATTCGACTTTTTCACATGACTTGATTGAGCATATTTGACAAATTGCAGAGAGAATTTCGGTAATTGACTTGATGGAACAACCTTTTTACTTTGTTCAATTGTCTAAAAATTATCAAAAAAAAATTAATAATTAATTTCGATGCTATGGAAAACATACCGCAAGTAAAAGACTTATTGGATATCGACCACATATTGTATTATCTGTTGAACGAAGATAAGTATGAAAATCGGGTAAATTTAATTTTTCAATCAATTCCATTCCTTTATGATCTAACTTTTCAATATACTGCCAGATTTCACCATCAGCAGGATTATGTGGTGTATAGGAAAACCGTCGACCTAAAACAAAACCAAAGACGGCATTCTTTTTGTTTTTATTTGAAGAAAAAACAAATGTCTCATTTACCCCAATGACAAAAATCGGATGAGATAACAAATAAATTTTTTGAATCACATAAATAAGATGCTAATAATTGACCATATTTTTCTAATTTTGATGAATCGAGTGAACCAACAAGAATTGGAATTAATTGAAAATCTTTACGTTTTCTAAAGAAAAAACAACAGAATTCTTCATTCAGGATTCGACCAGAAATTAAAATCTCTCTTTTTGATTTATTATTGATTGTTAGAACTGATTTGCCTATGTCTATTATCCATTTCTGAAAATAAGTCGCTTGGGCAGAATTTTTATAACTTTTGAAGGGAAAGTCATAGAGAGCTGCGGTTTTAACCGTTGGATAGAGAACATCAGGGCACATAAGTCTATGTAAAAACCGATGGGCCAATCCATAAAAATACTCGTTATCTGCGTCGTCAAATTTGGATGAAAATTACATAAAATATGCCTATTCTTGAGATTTAACCTCAGTATACAACTGATTCCCACATCAGATATACAGTA